GTGTGTGTGTGTGTGTGTGTGTGTGTGTGTGTGTGTGTCGTCAGCTTCGGTCCGGGGGTCTCAGAAGTTGTCATGTGTGCCTCGGTGGGGTTTTAAAGTGGCCGAGGCCCGTGAAAGGGCGGCTCTTCAGCTACTGATCAGAACACAAGTGGGCAGTGGTCATAGCCTGTGAAATGAATAGATGTGCAGCGGGAGAATAAATGAGTTTCTGATTCATTTCCTCTGTCAGATGAGAGCACAGTGAATGCTGAGAGCTCGTTCGCTGAGGCAGAGGAGGGTGAGGTGAAGCCGGCTGGATGCTGAAGGTCTCTCAGGCTGCACATGCCCTTTTCCAGGTCTTCTCAGTCTAGCTCCATAACCCTGCAACACCAGAATACAGCAGAGTGGAGAGGGGGGGGTGAGCAGAGTGTACAGAAGCCTCTCTGTTTCCACATTCAGAGATGCTCTCTCTGCAGTATACTGCACAGCCAAAACTGTTACCGTGCTCCCTGTCCTCTCCTTAAAAAAAAAGAAAAAGAAAAAAGTAGCAGGCGAGAGACATGGCGAAAATATAAAGGGGGAGAGATGTGATGCAGCTGCTCTCATGCTCTCCATCTTGTCTCTCTCATTATTCTGCAGAACGTTATAAACAAAACAACCATAAAAATTCTCTGACAGGAACATGAGAAGCATGATGAGCAGATTTGCACTCCCCAGTGTTACATAACAGATCTCTCCCCCACCATCTCTCCTTCAGCCTCTCTCTGTCTTTTTGTACTGTACCTCTCTTTTTCCTTCTTGGACATGGAGCTTTGCGCTCTATAAGCGGCTCACTTATAGGTGGGAAAGTGAAGAAGAGAAGCTTGTTCGTGTGGTTGATGCACAAAGTAAACTTAGGTTTGTTGTCACTAACACAGCCACCCTCCCTCAGGTAAACCGTACTTAAAAGAAACCAGAGCGTGATGCTTACTTTCCTCTCAAGTTAGCTGAGAGTCCAGCCTGTTGTTGTATTGTAAATCTATGATGATGATGATAAAAGCCTCAGTGCTGGCATCAATGCAGCAGCAACGCCACCTAACATCATTCTCCTTTTCCTTTTTTTTTCTTTTCCTTTTTCGCCTACAGCTCCCGGGGCTGTTTCAGCATTAGAAATTATTGATGTCTTTACTGCCTAGATGAGTGTTTGACAAAAACTGTGGGTAGTTATGGTTCCACTGAAACTATTATATTAGCAAGACAGGATTGTGGCTTTTTGAGACACGGACTAAGTATGCGTGTACAAGTTTTTTTGTCTTTTTTGTTTACCGTAAGATGTTTTTAACTTCATCTGCAGAATACTGGATACCCTCCAGCTCTATGTCAGCCATTTTCACTGCTTTCAGCATGACTCAGAAGGTAGGATTTAACCATTTACATTGAGATGTAAACAAGGAGAAATACATTTGAAAGGTTGTGTCTTTTTCATAAGGTTATCTTGTCTGGATAATCTTTACGAATATATTCAAAACAGCAAACCCACAGTCTACTTGTGCAGCGCTGCACCACTTTTATGTCCCCCGCTATGTTTAGATTGCTCCCCAGATCAGATGTCCTGTCCAAACCCTTTGGCATGTGTGAGTCTGTTAAGGTGCACTGTTGAAGTAAAATTTCATTTTGGGGTAGAGTGAGTGCAGATTGTGTCCTGTGGCTAAAACCCCTGCATTTTGAATCCTCTGTTAGCACAACGGCGCATGTTCTCCCTCAGACCTCTCAGGACATTGTGATCCAACCCTGTGAAAGCCCTGGCTGCGCTCTGTGGAGTCATCTGCTTAAAAACTCCTGTCGCTTGTAATTATCCACAAAATGAAGGTTAGAACTTGAATATTGAGCTCCATAAATAGCAGGAACGCTAGGAACGATGCAGGGCTGCTCAAGGAGACCATCTTGAAGGGGACTGTGGTCTAATTTAAATCAATGTCTTTTATTTATACCTGTTATTTTAAGCAGCGTGAAAAGGAAAGAAGAGAAACTCGTTGTTGAACTGGAAAATGTATTTATCATGTTAGGGCAAAAGCCAGTGGTGCCCATTTCCTCTCTGATGTACTGAAATAAAAGTGCAGCCTTTAGCAGATGTACTCAGATGTGTCTTAGTTTTGTGCTTAGTGGTGTCTGGACCAAAATGGAGCTCTCTAGCACAGATGAATAAGCTCATGCTTGGCATCACGCATTTCGTTTCCACCTTGTTTTTTTCCACGAATTATTGATGATTACTTACCTTTTAAATGTCTGGACTTCTATATACTTTGCCTTTGCCCTATTAGACATAACAAATAGAGAAAAATAGATGTACCAGTGTAATTAAGAACAGGATGTTTACCTGGGCTTCTCCATTGTGTCCTTGACCAGATAGATATACCAGTAAATCAAGTTGAAGAGAGCAAAGGAAAGGGGGAAGAGGATGCGGGCATACGCATCAATAGGGCTGGTGCCGGCCAGCTGTGGGATTTGGGGAATGGCTGAGCCCTGCTGGAGAAAAATGGGCAGATGGGGAATATCTCCTGGCTCACTGCGGCTCACTGAGTGGTTTCTCCTCTTCAGGCCTTCCCGGGGGCTGCTGTCCGACTGATGGGGGGAGTAGCAGGAATGATTTTGTGGAAAAGCGAAAAGAAGTAAAATGAGGTAAGTGTTGGTTTTGTGGTAATCACTGAAAGGGAGGGGGTGGATGTAAAAAAAAAAAGAAAAAAAGAGAGATGGGGCAGATTTTTAACCTCCAAATTTATAAATGGGAACACATGCTAACATGTTAGTGTCGTGTATGCAAGGCTGCAAGCCGTGTTTGTTTCCACAGGAGCGTTCTCGCCATGGCATGCATCTCTACATTTCTATAGGAAGCAGCAGGAAGTTTTGAGGATGCATATATGATGGCTGTGAGATCACACGGGGAGGAGTGCTGGAGCTGCTCTCTGTTCTCACACTGAAGCTATTTTTAAAGCGAGCATCTAACCATGAGATCTACACGTGAGGCAGGTCCCAGGAGGACACCGGGGTGGCTTACTGTATTAGCATAAAGCAGACAGTATATAGCTAGCCCAGAGATGAGAGTAACAACAGCCCATATTACTTTTTAATGCATGGTGTGCCCTAAGTGAGAAGAGCGAAAGAGGCAGGGGGACTACTTGGAAATGCATAGAAAAAGAGCCGTGTGTGTGACATGGTTTCTTTTTTCTGCTTCTGCAGCTGCTGACTGTCTGCTCGTCACTAACATCACTGCATCAACTAGAGACTCAGAGGCTCTGTACCTAAAGATTCGCCATTATTAGCGCTGTAAATACACTGCGGAAAAGATGATGTAACTGAGCATTGTGTTCCTATAAAAAAATTTTTTTAAGACAACACTTATCCAGTCAACTCATGAAACTGGCTATAAAGATGTAGCCTATAGGGTATACAAGTCTCCATGTTCATAACTGGAAACTCACTGCATCTTGGCAACATATCCCTCCTTAGTAACAAAATGACTAAGTGCATTCCCAGATATAGCCTTTAAAACATACAGTATACAGTTTTGCTTTATTGCTTTGCTGAAAAAATGGATTATCTCTTAAAAGATCAGGTTAATCTAAACTACATATTTAGAATTGCTCCATTACACCACTGTGAGACTTACACTACCACTCAGCATTATGGTTACTCCGTAATGTCCATGGTTTTGAAAGAAAAGCAAATTGCTCTAATATAACAATTAATAACTGATGGAATTAGAACTATAAATCCTTGATTTAATGATTTTATTGGAATATCTATAAAAGCCTGTTTGTTCTGTTGACATTTTATGTTACCTGTTTTATGTTTATCCAATGTAAAGGTTGATTTATCACTAAAAAGAATTTTTCTCATTTACGATAACTCCACTGAGGACTGTCTGGACCTTGAGCCCCTGTGGAGTTGATTAGAGTCTCACAATCAACCTGAAAAAATAAATTTGGTCTTTTTCCAACTGAATGAAGATTATACCACACAAGAAATTGTGCCCAAAAGAAAATTCACACAAAGGAGTGTACTACTCTCTTTCCAACCACTACAATCTGGCACTTTAATGAAGCTGCCAGTTGAGGACCTGTGAGGTGTTCGTTTCTCAGACTAAAGACTCGGCTGCTCAGATCTCCACTTCTCTTTTTTTTCCGGTTAGAAACCGCGGTCCTGTTCTGTGTAGGAAGTAGTACACACCAGAGGTTTTATGTCAGGGTCCCACATGAATAGCCTTCATTTCTCACATCAAGAATAATGACTGTTCTACAAAAATGTGGGGTTTTTAAAACTACAGTGTAAGCACAGGGGCTGAATTCTCACACACTCACTCACTAAATGTGTCGTCGCTTGTATTAGTGTGAGTGTAATGTTTTCAGCATTATAAACTTGCATTAGATGATGAAAGTGCCATTAGTGTCGCGATTGCTGGATATGCCACCCACATATGCATTAAAAATCATGATTAATAATTCCATTTATCAGTTTTTGTTATTTCTGATCGATTTAATGTAAAAAGTAGTTTTCTTTTAAAAGCAAGACATTTCTGGCTCTTAACAGTAAATGTCGCTTGTAACCATTATCCCACAGAGCTGAGGAGCTGGCTAAAGAGGATTCATTCTGTTCTCACCCCAATAAAATTTGCTCATTTTTGAGTCATTTATCAGGCCCTCTGGTGGAAAGATCAGTAGGGTTCCCCTTTAAAGAAGTTATATACAGCTTTTCTACATTTTAATATGAAAACTGCTTACCGAAACTGTGTCATCATCATCGCTGCCGGTGGCCAGGACCTCAAGCTTCTCCTGTCTGGCTGCCTTCTTCTTCAGACGGTGGGCCTGCAAGGTGGCGAAGTAGTTCACTGCCGCAAATTCGACGAGAGCTGACGCCACGAAGGCAAAACACACAGCAATGAACCAATCCATTGCCGTGGCATAGGCTACTTTAGGTAGAGACTGGCGGGCACTGATGCTTAAGGTGGTCATGGTCAGCACTGTGGTGATGCCTGAAGGGCAGCAGAGTATTCATGAATCACACATTTAGAGGGAGATTAGATCAAACTGGGCATGAGGGAAGAGGGGGCATACCAGCAACTGTGCGTGCAGGAACAGACTCTTTGTTGATCCAAAAAGAGACTTGTGACAGTACGACAATCATGATAAGAGGGATGTAGGTCTGTATGAGGTAGTAGCCCAGCTTCCTCTGGAGGTGAAAATAGACCACCTGCACAGAGTAGTGACCTGCAAGATAAACAGCACGTGAGAAGACAGCGAGTGTGAGGGACAGAGCGTGGTCGCACAGAACGGATGCCCTTGCTTGCCCTTCAAAAGGGAATAGCAGCTGAAAGAACCAGTTGTTGATGCTGCCAGGACAGGAACAGGTTGCTAAGTCTAAGGGAGCAAAAGAAAGAGGAGATAGGAAGAGAGGAGAGAAGACAGTGGGACAAAAAAAGGAAGGAAGGAAAGAGGAAGAGGGGGAAGGAGCCAGTGAGGTGGGGGCTGGCGGAGAGCATGCAGTGCCACTATGTGTTTGCTGCCCTGCTCTGTCTGAACACATGCATGCAGACATTCACAGACCGAAAACGTGCTGCATCATGCACGCTCACACACACTTATTTAGACGTCCTCTGTCTCACTCTGTGTTTCTTAAATGTGTATCATCGCTACATTTTGGAGCCTGCCTCATCCTTTTCTGCTCCATTCGAGGAATGTGCTGGATTCACAGCAGGGAGGCTTTCTCCTGGTAAAAAGAGAAAATGCACACACATAAAACTCACCCCCCACCCCGCCTGAGCATCCACTGGGGTTCTACACGGTTTTTAAGCGGTTTACTATTTATATTTTATTCCGGCACAGTTGATGTGGAGCACCCAGAATTTTGTTGTACATGTACAATGACAATAAAGGCCTATTCTATTCTATTCTATTCTATTCTATTCTATTCTATTCTATTCTATTCTATTCTATTCTATTCTATTAAGGTGCACGGTACGCATTAGGGCCTGACCACTTAAGCATCTTAGATGGTGGCTCAAGGAAGTCTTTGCTTTTATATATCGTCCTCCTGCGGGGAGTAATGGACACTAGTGCAGGGCTTGCAGACACTCATTTGACCCCTTTCTACTCAAACATTAATAAACACTTGTGGATCTTTTAATTATGCTTGTATATGTGGCTACGGCCATAATAGGCTGCTTATGAAAATAGGTTTGTTTTTTTATTTTGCATTACCTGTGTTTGATTTGAATATCTCCCTGGACAAAGTCTGTCCGACAAGATCGTACTGCAGAAGACTCATTGACTCTTTGGGACAGTCGACGGAAGCTATTGGTCCCTTCCTCCAGGTAAATATAATTTCACTGCTGGTGTATGCATCTAAAACAGGAAGAAAATATCACATCAACATGCTCAAGGTTTGGTCATATTTATCAATCTGGATATTCCTGGATGCTAGCGTTGGTCTGAAATACTCACAGCTTCCAAACCGCAGAGGACAGGAGTGGCCGTCCATAGGGAAATCCATCAGGCTCATTGGACACTCTGCACTGATTGTGAGCCTGAAAGCAGGAGCTGGGATCAGTCTCTGATAAATTTTCTGATTTGGTCTTGTGTTTAGCAAAAATGATCTGCTCCAACAAAAAAACCAAAAAAAACCCAAAGAGCAAAACTACACATTCACTGTGAAAAATCACCTCATGGTGTAAAGGACAGTCCCGTTCTGCATGATGCGGAAGAGCTTGTTGGGTGTGGTCATGTTATGGGAAATGGACTTCTTGGAGTTTCTGAAGAAAGTGTCTGGCGTCCAGATTTTGTCCACCATGAGGTTATTCAGCCGCAGGATTTCAATGGGGCCCTCGAATTTCAGCCTCTCATCAACCCACATCTGGCGGAAGAACATGTCCATGGTGTACTCCTGAGGCACAAACGTAATATTGTTTTGATACAAAAAAACCCCCACAACTACAATCCCAGATTCAAGAATGAAATTTCTATCTTCGTCCATTCATCAGCACGCACAAGACCGAGGTGACATTTCAATACAGAGTGAAAGGTGAGGGGAGACGATGAGGCAGTGATGGATGCCACTCATCCCGGATAATCATTAATCAATCCACTCAGCGATCCTCGCTCTCTGACATGTTGTCATATTGATTTAGAGGCCATCAATAACGGAGTTATAGGGCTGGTCAAACAGATTAAAGCTCATTAGATGGTCTCATGGCAGAGTGCCCATAAGGCTGGTCACTGAAGCACTATTATCTCCCACAGTCAGCACATACACACTTCCTGACAGAAGTACTATCTTACCATTTCAACATCTGAAACAGGTCCAAAGCTGGTGACAAAGATGTCTGTCTTCACCTCGGTGACACCGCCTGCAACATTAATTAACAAAAGCAAAATGTACCTAAGAGCACAAAAAGTGCTGTTGCATAATGTCTTTATCTCGAAGGAGCAAGGTATTAGGACATAAAGTTTAAATTACCTCCAGAACCGGGTCGCAGTCTGTTGTCATAACCATCTAGAAGTCTGTCCAGAATGCGAGTGATGTTGTCTGAGTATATCTTTTCATTTCCCCATACATTACCTAGACTGCAGAGAGAAAATCAAACCTTAAACTCGCACGATCACTGCTTTCTGCTCCACGTTTAACTCCACAGACAGGACTTACCTCATCCAGCAGATAAAAGCAGCTAAAGTTAATGAAGGGACGGCCATCCTAGGTTTTGAATCAGGTTTCACAAGTTCATAAAATTAAAAAAAAGAAAAAGAAAAAAGAGCCACTTCAGAGCAGGATTTCTGCTTATGTATCGCTAAAGTTACCAGTAGGTATGCATATGGACGCAGGAAACAACGAGGCAGGGAGTGTAATCTAATTAACAGATTAGAAAATCCACTCCATTTTTAGAAAAACTCCGGATTTAGTTGCTTTATTTAGTTAAAATAACTAACTAATAATAGTTAAAATAGGAGCATTAAAAACAGGAAATAAATACAACACGTGACATTTCAGTAACATTAAAAAGAAAGAAAAATCCTAGCTAAAGAGTCTATGGTGTGTCTCATAGGAGCAAGGTTTTCTAATTACTGGTTCATCCTATCAGGCAGTAGATGGCGCTGCAGCTTCCGTGATTTTCACAACCGGAAATGACACCGAGACTGAGAAGAAGAAGAAATTTGGAGCTTGTGAGGGGAAAACACCACAGGGAGAGGTAAAATACACCAACTTAAAAACAGACCTTTAAAGTAAAAAAAAACAACAACATATAGGCAACTGTAACAGTTAACCGCACAGCAAGCCTCCAGCGTATCTTCGACCTGCTCGGTTTCACGCTGGAAGCTGGTCAGCGGAGGTTAGCCGACCCGTGAGCCGGCGTGCAGCCGTAGCATGTCGGTACACTTCGAGGAGAGGAGCGGTGTCGTCCCCTGCAAGACGCCATGGGGCTCCTGGTACCAGACCATGGATGAGGTCTTCATTGAAGTCAACGTGCCTCACGGGACCACTGCTAAAGAGGTCAAGTGTCACCTGGGGTCCAGAGACATCGAGCTGTTGGTCAAGGGAAAGGAAATATTCAAGGTAGGGCACCAAAGTGACTCCCAGGTCCCGAGAATAACCTGCATGCTGTGATCTTTATTTGCAGAAAGTAAGATAATGCGATTCCTGGTTTATCCTCCAGCTCCACCCCACTCTCACCCTCTTTTACCCAGTGACTGAACTAACCAGTAAACCCAACCCAGCCTTGTAAGACCATTCATGTAGCCCCTTTCCGTCATACTTATCACAGTTGGACCTAAAAGTCCACGTCACAGTTAATCAGCAGTGTCGCCTATTTTGATACCGTACAATGAAATCAGTCGGGCTGTTGTGTGTACGTAAAGAGTATGTAACTTCACTGTATTGTGCTGTAACGCAGCTAGACCTGTTCTGGTCATGTGCAGGTCTTTTAACTCTTCCAAGAACAGGTCCAGGTGTGCTGATATGAATAAAACGGATATTATTCATTTTTTTTTATTTTATTTTATTTTTTTGCCAGGGAAAACTATTTGGAACAACTGTATCAGATGAGGCCACATGGACACTAGGTAAGTGACACACTCACAGAAATATTATGGGAATTAATAACTATCCTTATAACTCTAACGATTGCTGTTGACTGGCTGTGTTAAGAGTTGTGATATTCATCCATTCATGTCTTTATGTTACTTATGTTAAGTTACTGGGGGCTTTATGTTCACCCTTTGTATTATGTCATTGTTGAATTAGAAATGGTCAAATAGAAAGGAGACATTACTAAATTAGACTTTAATGAGATCCAGCTTAATGCATTGTTTGCTTTGCTGATCATTTCCTCAGAGGATAAATGTCTTATCCGGATCATTCTGATGAAGACCAACAGAGAAGCAGGGAACTGCTGGTCCTCGCTGCTGGAGGGGGAGTATTGTGCGAATGCTTGGGTCCAAGACCAGATGCAGAGAAAACTCACTCTGGAGAGGTTTCAGCGAGAGGTGAGTTTGATTCGCTGACCTCTGTAGCACTGTTGACTCTACTGTACATCCTAATGACTGTTGTATATTGTACGCATGTAATCCTAATACATTTCTTCTACTGCACAGCTGCTACTTTTTCAGCCAGGTTAGGACCACCTTCTAAAAAGGAAACTTTTAAAGACTTTACATACACTTACTGGTCACTTCATTAGGTGAAGATCTTACAACTGCCTGGGTTTGGAGCCCATTTTGCCTTCAGGGCTGCTTTAATTCTTAATGGCACAGATTCAACAAGGTGCTGGAAATATTCCTCTGAGATTTTGTTCTATGTTGACATAATAGCGTCACACAGTCGCTGCAGACTTGTCAGCATTCATGATGTGAATTTCCAATTCTGCCACATCCCAGAGGTACTCTAATGGATTGAGATCTGGTGACCGTGGAGGCCATTTGAGACCACTGTCATGTTCAAGACACCGCTTCGAGATGATTTGAGATATGTGACATGGTGTGTTATCTTAATGGAAACAGCCATGAGAAGATGGGTACGCTGTGGTCATGACAGGATTGACATGGTCAGCAAAAATACTCAGGTTTTGGTCTGTGGGCTCATTAGTACCAGTTGAGCATAATTTAAACACCACAGCCTATCTCCAGTATCATTAGACCATCACCACCACCAGCAGTCTGAACTTTTGATACAGGGCCACGTGGATCCATCCAAATGTTGCAGCAGAGATTGAGACTATTGTCCAATTTGAGCCCGCTTGAATTGTAGCATCAGTTTCCTGTTCTTAGCTGACAGGATGGGTCTTCTGCTGTTGTAGTTTATCTGCTTTGAGTTTCAGCATGTTGTGTTTCCAGAGAAACTCTTTTCTACATCTTGGTTGTAACAAGTAGTAACTGAGTTATTGAAGCTCCTGCTACCTGCAGCTTGAAGCAGTCAGGGCAGTCTCCTCTGACCTCCACTATCAACGATATATTTTTTCTTACAGAGCTGCCAATAACTGGATATTTTCTCTTTTTCAAACCATTCTCCATAAACCCCACAGGTGGGTCTGTGGGGAAATTGCTGTGAGATGAGCAGTTTCTGAAATATAGATATTCCAAAAAAGTTACTTAAATGACCTTTATTCTCCTCGGTCTGATGCTCAGTTTGAACTTCAGCACATCATCTTGACCGTGTGTGTATGGCTAACTGTATTAAGTTGCTGCCATGTGATTGGCTGATTAGATATGCAGTTGGACAGGTGTAATGAGAGTATGTTTTGGATTGTTGAAATATAGACATCTGACTGTTTTCATTCCCAATCCATTAATAATAACTCAGTCCCCAGGTTGTGATAAATCGGTTTTTCTTATAAATGAAGCAAATCCATAAATAATGAAGGGAAATAATCAAGGGAACTCTGTGATGGTCATTTCTGGGTAGGCTAAAGAGAAAAAAAATAACCATGCCACCTTAATTCTCAGAAATGCAGCTGACATGCTCTTTGAGTTGTAGGATTATCAGTAACACTTCAGCTTGAAGGAAAGATTGGAAAATGTCTTCCTCATTACAATAGAGATTTCTGATGTAATGTGCGACATTACTAACTTGCAATTATGTGGCAGTGTGAGTCACTGACTTTTAACATATTACATATTTTGCGTAATGAAACCTGTAAGGGGTTCTGAAAGTCTGGCTGTCAGAGCTCATTCCTGAGAATGTTTTAAAGGTGATGATCTGTTAAGTTAATGAAGGCATTGCTTTCAACCTCGAAGCCCTTTATCAAGAAATCCATCCATCAGTTCATCTTCTTAACTATTTAAATTAAATTTAAATTAACAAATCAGGATGAGCTGAAGTCTCTCCGGTGATATTGTGTGAGAGGCTGACAGGTCACCAGTCTGTTGCAGGGCTAACAGTGAGACTACCACCCATTTGTGTGCACACCTGTGGCTAATTTACTATCACTAACCTAATAAGTGTCTTTAGACTTTATTAAACACTCATTGCAGTGTTACTGCTGTGATTCTGGAAATTGTTGAGATGAGCACTCAGTGACGAGTTTGTCTTCTTACATCTGTTTCTTAAACTCAGATACATCTATCCTCAGGAAATCTTAATTACAGATTAATAATCAGCAGTATGTCTTACTGACTCTTTTTTTTTTTCCTTTGTTAGAATCCTGGATTTGACTTCAGCGGTGCAGAGATCTCTGGGAATTTTGCCGGTGGCGGTCCAGACTTTTCCAGCTTACAGAAGTGACCCTTACCATGATGCTAGTACATGCTTGAGGAGTTACCTCTGCCCATCATGCACAATGTGCAGAACAACAGTGGATGCATTCGGTCTACTGTGACAAGAATTTGCCTTGAGACGAACTAAAAAGCCTGGCTGTCACATCATTGGTCTCGTCCTCAAAGGACTGATTTTGTGCAAACCAGATGTGGGGAGTGGGAAGGCTCTACAAAGGAAGTTGATAACTCTCGTTATGAGAATTTTCTGACATGTTTTAATAAAAACAAAGTGCACTCAGCAATAGCTTTTCAATAAAGTTTTATTGAAAGGTACAAATACATAGGTTAATCAGATGGTGTATTCAGTCATTTTGAATTTGAGACCACATTTTGTTTTGTCACTAAAATCAAACTAAACAGGGAAACTGGCACAGAAAATGCGATATAAATTTCAACCTGAATTTCCACTGCAATGACCTTTTTTGGGGTTTTCTGAGTGCTCTCTAAAAAACAACTTAACTCAGTATATTTGTGGCGCTTCACACGGTGTCCACAAATTAAGAGTTGGTGAAAACAACTCATCTGTAACCGTTGGTAACGTTTCATCTCAAACACTGATGAGCTGTAGATAACAGGATCATCACTAGCTTCATTTCCCTGGTACAAACCAGAGCTCCCTCGCCTTAACAACAAAAAAAAAAAATCATCACCTTGGGTAGGAGTGTGCATTCAGGACAGCTTAGCAACCTAGGGTGGGAGTGAAGGACTTTGGGCCCGATCTTTTGGTTCCATTTTTTTGCTGTTCACAAAATCCCTCTCCCTCCTCTTCCACATGGTGGACTGAGGACCTAGGTGGTTCTATACTTATTAGCTTAAAACCAGCAACCCGTTCCAGGGAAACACCAAACACCGTGGTACGGATTTAAACAAGAACATACAAGACACCTGTGCAAACGGCTCAACCAAGAAAGTAAAACTTCAACCTTTCTGAGGAAGAATTACTCCTTGTCATAGGGAAAGAAAAATGTGTGTCTGATCAACATATGATTACAAACTTAAGGGATTTTTTAAAAAAAAGGGGGCATTTCCTTAAAGACATCCATCATCACAGATGAAGGTCTCTAAGGAAAATAAAGCTGGAGCTGTAAGTGGGTGACCATACTGCATGTTACATCCAGTCAGAGGACAAAGATGTAACAGTGGTAATGTTGTAATTTTTCTTTCCATGTCAAGTCACCCACTTGGACGCCCAGGTTTTAACAAGCTGACTCAGGTATGGTGGGAAGGTGAGTGATCTTGTAGTAGCTGTGCTTCAGCTGACGTGCAGTTCTTCCTGAAATAGTCCAGCGAAGTCTCTGGACGTTTGGCCTGCAGCACTTAGTGGTGGCGTACTCAGCCAAGCATTTTCCAACTAGCTCCCGCATGCAAACCAGATCCCCGTCTTTGATCTGCAGGAAAGAGGAGTCGCATCTTTCTCTGCTTAACACTTGGCAAGAAGCATTAAAATTCATTAAGCTACACTGCATGGATCACCACCTTATATTAACTGTGACAAAAACACTAATATGCAATAATGTTAAAAACGAGCCATTTTGGTTTGAGTTGAGCAAAGGCTCATTTTGACAGTTTTTCCTACTCTGACCTGTATGTTGATAAGATGGACCTATTCCTAATAAGGCACACGGGTGTAGCCATGAGCACACAAGTCCCACTGACCTGTTGTTTAAACCTTCTGCCTGCTAGGGGCAACCAATCAGAAGAACGTTGGCATAAAGGGCTTGTGTCTTCTGAGGCCCAGTTTAAAATAAGGATTAGTTTGAACTGCTCGTATATATTCTTTAAAGCAAAAGGCTCAGAGCTGGACTTACATTTAGCTGCTGCTGCAGATTGCTCAAGGCCTCAGATATTTTGTCAAGGTACTCTGGGTCATGTTCATCATGGGCCTCAAAACACAGGAGAGCCAGAGCAAGCAGAGATGGCTGCACAGAAACACAAACAGAGTCTCTTGTTAAAAAAAAAAAAAAAAAGTAGAAATTATGATAACATTTAAAAGCAAATCGACGCAGATGACCTACATACCTGAGATACAACAACAAATGAGAAGTGTACAAGACAAAAGCAGTCTGATTTTTTTTAATGAAAAGCGCAGAAAAGCATTGAAATAAGTCATTATTTTCAATGTGGAGAGAGTAGTTGTTTTGGCTTACCTTTATTTTGGAGAAGACAAATGAGCAGTGACAGGCTTTCAGCTGTGCCTCCAGTCTCTCAAGGCTCAGGATCTTCATGCTAAAGGGAAAAAATGCTTTTAGTGTCAAAGCAAACTGAATGTGAAGTACAGCTTACATAAATAGTGATAAAAAAGCCAACCAAAAGGATTTCTTTTTTTTTTTTTAAAGGTAACGTTTGAAAGGGGGGGGGGGACTTGCATATTTGTTTTCTAACACCCTGTCACATGTCTAAAAGTCTACACGATTTCAAAAAGGACTGTGCCTGTTGGCTAAAAAATATATAATTTTTTTTGGTTAGTGTTAGCTTTCAAACCAAATATGAGAAGACACGTTTTAGTAGAGTAAATATAATCTCGTTGAGTCATAGCTCAGCCCTGCAGGTTGGTGTGACCGTCTGTCCTTACCTCTCAGCGTCGAGCTGCTCCAGGACGTGGCTGTGAAAGACGCGGAGAAAGCGCAGGGCCGTGGGGGCCTTCACCTTCCAGTAGAGCTTCTCCATGATGATCTTCTCCATCCTCATCATGTCAGACACTGTAAAGCGATTCTGACTGATGCGAATCAGGTCATTGGCCAGAGGCACGTTCTTCTCTTCTTCTGTGGACTTCACAGCGATGTAAAAGCAGCACAGACCGACACAAGGAAGGTGCTTTGGCTGAATCTGTAGGAGATGGGGAAATGGATATTGGAGAACGGAACAACTGCTAAGATTTTAAGAAAGTAAGCAAAATGTACTGCATTTACAAACCTTCATGACAGACAGAAATCGGTCCAGCAAACTGACAGCCAGCGAGAAGCTCTCTGAACTGAAACCGAAGAACCTGGTCAGTGAAAGCAGGTCATTCACCTCCAGCTCCCTGAGTCGGGAAGTCATCCTGAGGCCATTGTCCTGGGCGCTTTCAATGAACCTCAAGCCACTCAGCTTTGGTTGGTATCGGCCCTCCAGATCAATCAGGGCCTTCAGCTGGGCTGCAAAGGGCTGTGCCACAGGGCCTGTTACTGTGTCAATCATCTGCACAGACATGAAAATAAAACTTAGTGATACAGTAAAAAAACAAACAAACAAAAGATACACTGGAATTAACTGTGTGACCATAAACTGTGTATAAAGTATTAACATAAGTCTCTAACATTAGTCTCTTTAATAAGGCAAGGCTCTGTCTGCTACGTAATTGAAATATTAGACTGGTGTATTTAAAGGACATCTAGTCCGAAACAAAAATGGTTAAACAAATGCAGTGAGCGTAGTTTACTAACAAGATCCTGCAACAAGCTTTCCGCTAACACATGCCCGTCACTGAACTGGACTAAACTGGACTGGACAGGAGCAATGACTGTATATAAACAGGAGGCGAAATGAGACGAACACAGAACAGGGATATGCTTCAAAAAGTTTCTCCGTTTTTAGTTAAAGCGACATTTCTGCTACTAAAAGTGTGTAAAACACGAGTTCCACAGCTCTAGTGCTAGTTTGTGAGTCCACATGTAGCCGTATCACAGCAGCAGGCCTTGTGTATGTCAGGGCAAGGACCGGCGTCATGTCGAGACATGTCCCTGCCATACACACCAAAGGAGAGCTAACGCAAAGCATGGCACAGCAAACCAAAGTGACAGTACACAGTTTAAACAATAAAGATAAGAGTGAATCAACAACATAAGTCTGTAAGTACTATGTAAGTTAAACTTCATACTTTATTAGAGAAACCAGAAAATGACAAACTACTCTTTGTTGACGACGTAAACTGTTTAGCAATCAAAGCTAACGCTAGCTAAAAATCCATTTCTAAAACTAGTAGCATTTTTTTGGCTGATAGCAACACATCATTTACTGTTTAGAGCCACGAACACCACTAGATAAAAAAATATATATATCATATAAGGAAAATGGGTTTACTTACCTTAAACAGTTACGTTGCTTTTTGTATTTAAAAAAAAAAAGAGCAGGTGAAAAAAAATCCACGCGCTTCAAATAAGCGGGTGAATGGAGAAATAAAACACACAAAAGTGTAAGTATGAACTTTCACTAAAGAAAGTTTTAAGCATAGGTTAGTTTCTGCCTATGCACACCCCCTACCCTTGGCGTAAGGCGATGGGGAAAAGGACAGTTGAGGCGTTAAAACAGGCATAAAACCAAGCCCATGACCAACCATGCCGATTTTCTATTGGTCCTCAACAAGTGACGTTACCAGCTCTACATTTTAATTGGATATTTAACTAGCTAGTCACATACAAGGTCCACCCCATTCATGCATTAGGGCCAATCGCACGTCAGAAGGTGGGATACGACCCAAAATAGCGTCGTAATAAAGTTGCCTCCTTTGGTATATAAATTATATTGGATTAATTTTTTTTTAATTCATTAATAAATAAATACAGATATACAAATTATATCAACATTTACACAGTAATGTCTTTAGTGGGTAGTAAAATAGATTACATTTTTAAAAGGGTGTCGAAATCATAGAAAACTATTAAAAAAAAAAGACACACAGGGACACAACTTTTATAGAAAACTTTCCTCTCAAATTCATGTTTTTAAGTGTTTCCATGGTCCACATGTTAGTTTAAGGAACACACACACACACACACACACAAAAAAAAAACATACTATGTTGAGGGCCACTGGAAAGTTTCTGGAACAATCTGGAAGGAACCTGCATTATCCATCACTCCTTTGGTCTTTTCTGTCTAAAAATCAAAGTAAATATAGAGAGTACACAGTTCATTTTTCAATAAAGTAACTCTTTATTACATTAGGATTTAAAAATCTGCCAAGCAGGTCTACACAGACCCAGTATATAGATCTTATGACATAAAGAGATTTAATCCTGAATTGAATTTATGTACAGTTTAAAATATGAAATGTCTCTCTCTAATATAT